GTTCAGTTTTTCTTGAAGCCCTGTTGAGAGCCTTAAATTTCGCTGATCTAATTGTTTTTTCTCTCGCCGGAGGGTTTTTTGGGCAGAAGAGGTTTGGGGTTGATTTCTCTGGTCTTTTCATAATCCGCTCATGTCTAAGGTTCTTGATTTCAACGGTATGCCTTCTGATCTTTGTGTGTGTGTGTATTTTTTTTTTTTGTAAGTTTTTAAATTTCTTTTTTAAGACGAACAAAAAATTCTAATTCTTGATTCTTGTGGTGTGAATCTTTTTGCTGTACTTGTTTGTAGATATGATGGTTTAAGTCTATTACTTTAGTCAAATACTTTTATGGGTTGGATAAAATTCGTGCCTTTTGATTTCTGTCCTGTGTTTCTTGTTGGATCTTGTTATTTTCGTGAATCGTATGCAGATCCGTGCACATAAATTGATGTTATGATTGAGTTGTGGCGTGCTATATGTCTACCTGGGTTTATTGTGTTCAGAGTTTGTGCTAGTAGTATGTCTTGAATTATTTGCTTAGCAGATTTCTTTCTGGAAATCAATTAAATTTCCTGATCCTAGTTCATAAGCAAATGTAAATCTTGACATGAAAATACCAATTTCAGTTTATAGCATTTGATGGGGTTGGTTAATCTAAATAGTTATATAGTCAGAGTTGATGATAGTTGAAAAAAAGCCGTGGGGCACTGGCACAACCTATGAATTATACTTGAATTCTGATTAGCTGACGAGAGAACAATCTGCATAGTTAGTTATGCATCTATGTCGTTATGCATCTATATAGAAACAATTCGTTAGTATTGCAATAGATCCGTAATCTGTTCATTTATCTGACCACAAATCCCTCTCACCATTAATTCTTTATTTATTTTTCCTTCACTCGAGCATTTCTTTATTAACGAATCTTTATATTTGTTTTCAGGTGATAACGGTTTTTGTCCTGGAGGGGTTCTCTATCAAAAACCCAAGGAACTTAATCTGTTGCTGTCTCTCGGGAGGCATGTCGACACGTATTTCCCTTCTCGGAAGAGATCCCGTGTATATGAACACTTTATCGTCTCTGAAGAACCCAAAAGCATCCCATCGATCGAGATTCTTCCCGACGAGTGCCTGTTTGAGGTTTTCAGGCGCCTTCCAGGTGGCCAAGAGAGGTTTGCGTGTGCCAGCGTATCTAAACGTTGGCTCATGCTCTTGAGTACCATCTGCAGGGACGAAATCTGCACAACACCCTATAATTCCACTCAAACTCATGAATCTAATAACAAATTGGATTCTCAGAAGTCAACTGAACCTAAGGAAAAGGGAGAAGCCACCGATCTTGATGATGAATGCCTCGAGTCTGACCCTCACGGCTTTCTCACGAGGTGCCTTGAAGGAAAGAAGGCAAGTGATGTGAGATTGGCCGCTATTTCTGTGGGAACAGTCGAACGTGGTGGTCTTGGAAAGCTTTTGATCAGGGGGAATAAGTCCACGCGTAGACTGACAGATTTTGGTCTGAAAGCCATCTCACGTGGATGCCCTTCTTTGAAAGTTCTTTCTCTGTGGAATGTATCCTCCGTGGGCAATGAAGGGCTGTCTGCAATTGCAACTGGCTGTCATTCGCTAGAGAAACTCGACCTCTGCCATTGCCCGTCCATCACAGACAAAGGCTTGATTTCGATTGCAAAGAACTGCCCGAATCTTAAGTCTGTTGTGCTTGAATCTTGCGCGAACGTCGGGAACGAGAGCTTAAAAGCTCTCGGGAAAAGCTGCCGTAATCTAAAATCGATTACCCTGAAAAATTGTACGCTCGTTGGCGATCAGGGTATTGCGGGCTTGTTTACTTCGGCTGGTAATGTGCTCACAAAGGTGAATTTGCAGTCGCTTAACATAAGTGACGTCTCTCTTGCTGTGATCGGCCATTATGGGTCCGCCTTGGCTGAGCTGGCGCTTGCCGACCTCCAAAACGTGAACGAGAGGGGCTTTTGGGTCATGGGCAAGGGCCAACGTCTGCAAAAGCTCAAATCTTTGTTCGTAGCTTCTTGCATGGGAGTTTCTGATGTGGCGCTCGATGCTATTGGTCATGGCTTCCCGGAGTTAAAGACAGTTTCCCTTCTGAAGTGCCCGTTTGTGTCAGACAATGGGGTGGTAGCATTTTCCAAGGCTGCTGTCTCTCTCGAGAGTCTTAAGCTTGAGGAAATCCACAGGGTCACACAATTTGGTGTTTTTGGTGTGCTTGTAAACTGCAATGGGAAGTTAAAGGCGCTTACTTTGGTCAACTGTCTCGGGGTCAAAGACGTGCCGATTAGATTCTCGTTGACTTCACTTTGCAATTCTCTCAAGTCGTTGACCGTTCGAAACTGTCCTGGTTTGGGGAATTTCGGGTTATCCGTGCTGGGTCAGCTGTGCCCTAGCCTGACCCATGTGAATCTTGCAGGCCTCGAGGGAATTACCGATTCTGGGGTTTACCCGCTTTTTCAAAGGTCAAAAGCTGGCGTGGTAAAAGTAAATCTGAACGGGTGTGTGAACCTGACGGATAGTATCGTCTCTGAAATTACTGAGATTCACGGTGAGACTTTGGAGGTTCTGAATCTCGAAGGTTGCAAGAATATAACTGACGTGAGCTTGATGGCCGTCGCGAAAAATTGTTCTGTACTGTCTGAATTGGATGTTTCGCATTGTGGGATAACAGATTATGGCATTGGAATTTTGGCTGGTGCTAAGCAGCTCGGAATTCAGATACTGTCTCTTGCGGGTTGCTCTTTGGTGTCTGGTAAGAGTCTGCCTTTCTTGGTGAAGATGGGTAAGACCCTGTTTGGGTTGAACATTCAGCATTGCTCGGGAATAAGCTCCAGTGCTGTTAATCTGCTTATTGAGAAGCTTTGGAGGTGTGACATACTCTCTTGAGCTCNTTTGTGTCTAGTGATTAGTTTATAAGTTTTTGGGTCCATCGTAAATGGGTCTAGAATGTTCCGGTCCCCAAGTTGACCTTTTTTTGTTCCAGGTTGAGCGTGGCCGCTTTTTTTGCAGCTGAAGAGCTGTTTTTTTTTACCAATGGCCATGTTTAGCTTAGAACTTTCTGGCAAGTGGGTGGACTGGATCTTTTTAGATTCCTTTTCGAGTGGGTTGTGTTGTGTTGTGTCATAATGTTGCTATTGTGTGAGTGTCTCTTAGGGTTGGGTTTGATTTGATGGTTGCTTTTGGCAGTTTTGCGTCTTTTACCTTGCGTTTTCGTGGGCTGTGGCTGTGGCAGCTAGCTACTAGTGTTTAGTCTGCCACGACAACTGGTATACCGGTTGTTTTTTTCATGTTTTTTTTCCAAAGCCCTGGTTTTGCAAGTGTTACTTTGTGAACTGTCTGTAGTGCAATCAGTATGTTGTTTGAGTCTTCAAGAATTCAGTTTGCTTTGTTTGTACCCTTTGTGGTGTTATGTGTTTCTTTGAATAAAGACTACTTTAATGTAGCGTTTGTTAAGATGTCTTGTTTTGTCATTGTCTTTTTACTTTTGGTGATGAGATGTGACTTCTTTTTATCTGCTCTAGAGATCTGATTAATATTTTTTGTTGCATATGTAAAATGGTTATAAGTTATAAGCAAAATGGAGGTAATAANAAAAACACTTGAATGTGCTACAATAAATGGCTAAACGTTAAAAGGGACAGCAATTTAGCTAGTTTTTGGTAAGTACGATTTTTGTGGGTCTTTTTAACTAGTTTTTGTTAAGTCGAGATTTTTGTGGGTTGATTACAAATGTTGTACGTATGAGAAATCGAGGTTAGTTCATCAAAAATTCTATGAAGTCATCGGATAGTTTTCTTATGGAGTCATCCACCACTTAATATATTGACACATGTCTAAAGTGTATTTATTGCAGGACACGTGTCAATACATTATTGATGAATAAGTGTGGATGACTCCATAAACCGAGCCATTCGATGGCTTCATAGCAAAAGTGGTTAGTTCAGACCATAAAATCTTGATCTAAGCAAAAGCACTCACAGTCCAATCTTTTCCTCAATCAATGATCTAAATTACAGGGTGACAAAATAGCTTGCCAAAGAAAAAGTTGATCTAATCAGTTAAGGCAAGGTATCATCAGCCTTTCTCTACCGTTGGATCACGCCCATGTGTGTGTATAAATACATGATACTGCCTTCACCGGTTAATCGCGATTTTACCCAAATAAAACGCGAACCGTTACAAATACATTACATTTCAACGCGTATAGAAAGTGTTTCCCTCAACAAAATTATACTGCAATTGCCTCTTGCACCTTATCAATTTCTTCCAGAGCTTCCGGAAGTTTGTCATCCATCTTCAACTGACTCTTGATTGTACTTTCTTTCTCATTCAAGACTTTCTCAACTGTTTCTTTGGAAGAAGTATTACTTTCACACGATGATGCTGTTGTTTCCTTTTCATATAATGACGAGGCATTGTCCTCAAATGGTAACTTGGGAAGGGACTTTCTCTGTGGCTTCTTCACACGATCTTCACGTGTTCTACATAAGTCGTTCTCGTCAAGACTTAACCTAGTCAAGCGGGGCCCATTTTCTTTCGAGCTCTTTTTTCGGCCTAGCTTCGGGGATTTAGCTCTGGTTGTTGGAATCTGCATAAAGATGATAAAAATGACATAAAGTTCATATATAAGTGACGATGGGCATGAACTAGAAACTGATTTTATTATTATCGATAAAAGATATACAAGAGTACGGCCGAGAAAATCGATCGATTTTCTGTCACATATTTTACGTGAAACTCAAAAATTCTATGCGTTTCTTATCTTTTACCTTGTTTAGTTCCGTTGTCTGCGGTGCAGGTTCCTGATAGAAGCTCGGCATTGGTGGAGCTTTGAAACCCAAACTTTTTCTAAACATTCTGATCTCAGCATCTTGTGTTTCCTATTAGACGGAGAAAAGATCAAAACGGAATAAATTTCCAGTTTGCCTACTGAAATATTAGTCCTAATGTGATATAAAAAGTAAAAACCACACCTTGGTTTTAGCTAGAAGATTACTCTTCTCTGCTTCCTTTGCCTGGATCTTTTCCTCAAGTTTTGAATAGAACTGACCAAATTTTGATAACAGAAGAGAAAAGAGAAAAGGGTAAAAAAAAAAAAAAATGAAATCTCAGCTGCACATAATAAATCAAGAAATGTCAAACATTTCGAATTTTCTTCTCTCAGCCCTTTCATTGCATTTAAAACTGAAATTATAGGTAGGCAGAGTACCCAATTTGAGGGGCTTGGCATCCCCAGCCGTAGGACTTCTAAAAGGTATTTTAAGGATAAACCAATCAAATCTTTTATATCAAAGACAAGAAATTGCACTTTAAGGGATTTTGAAAGTTAGTCTAGTTAAAAATTTAGGAGTAATGAAAATATGCCAAAAAAAAAAAAAAAANCAAAAAAAAAAAAAAAAAGGCCGCCTGAACAATTTTTTTGATATTTCACGCTCCTCAGATAAAGTTTCTATGAAGGAAGGAGACCAGCAGCAAGTCTACTGTGAAGTTTTATATTGGCCAACGTAGAGAATTAGCTTTGAAAAATTGCAGGTGGAGGCTGATCAAATTGAGCTTGAACTAGATACTTTATATACTCACGGGGTAAATTGTTTTGGATTTATGAAAAACTAAATTGCATTTTTAGTCCTGTTGGTTTAACGCTATAATATTTTTAGTCTCAAAATTTTAACATTTTGACTTTTGATCCTATGATTTAACATTTTGCTGCAATTTTCGTCCTTTAAGTCCTATAATTGAAGATTTTGTTGCAATTTCAGTCTTGTTGTTTAAAAGGACTGAAATTGCAGCAAAACACTAAATCATAGGGCCAAAAGGCAAAGAGCTGAAACTTTGATACTAAAATTGCTATAGTGTTAAGCCAACATGACTAAAAATACATTTTTGCTTTTATAAAGATTTTTAAGACTTCATAAATAATGATTTATTCATTTTTTAGACTTTTTAATACTTTTAGGTCTAAAAATTAGGTCGTGATTTGGGGAAAACGGACACGTTGGCAAAATTGTGACCGCTGCTTCATTTTGGATTTGTGTTGCAAACATAAAACAAAAGTTGAGTTACTCTTGATAAATTCTAAAAATTTGGTTGAAATTGTCAAAAGTTATAAAGTGGTGAAATAAAGGTAATAAATAGGGTTCTTCATATAAACCTCCAACATGTCAGATAGCATAATCAACATATTATTGATGGAATACAATTTACGTATAGAATGTAATGCCATGAAATTGGTAATTCTTGCTAAAGGAAAAATATGTCGAAAATAATCAATGCGAGTGTTTACCTTTTGTAACAAACCTTACTTTATTATATATATCTTTACATGAAACCCATCCGACTCATACACAACCTTAAAAACCCATTTACAAAGAATTAACAGGCCAAACTGCAAACAAATACAAATACATTACATTCAACACGTACAGAAAGTTTTTCCCCTAGAACAATTATAAGAAGGCAATCCTCTTCGACACATGAGTTTTCCCAAAAGTAATGCCATTGATAGGGATTACGTCCCAAAAGTAGGGCCTCATACTGCAATTGCCTCTTCCAATCTAGCAATTTCTTTCTGAGCTTCCGGAAGTTTCTCGTCGATACTTTCTCCTTCAGTCCAAATGTTGGTCTGAACCTCGTGTTGTTCAACTGTCTTTTTGGAAGTTTTGGTTTTGCCAGATGATAATGATGTTCTTTTCGGCAAGGCATTGTCCTCAAATGGTAATAACTTGGGAAGGGACTTTCTTTGTTGCTTCTTGATATGATCGTTACAGGTTGTTCGGGCAAGGTTGCTTTGCGAGAGTTTTTCGTTCAAGCTTAACCGAGAAAGATGGGGCCCGATTTCTTTGGAAGTCGAGCTCTTTTTACGGCCAAGCTTGGGGGATTTAGCTCTGGTAGTGGGTATCTGCATCAAGGTATATAAACTTCACGAGATAAACAAATGAAGAGCGTGAACAAGAAAACTGATACTGATACAAGGGGTCAATCATATTAAGGATGTGTGTGGTTATTTTGGTAGCACAATAGCCTCAGATTTCCTAAAAGAGAAAATATATATAGTACAACTTATAATCCGTAAAAAACAATATTAGTATGGCTCGTATAGTGTGAAAGAAGGAATCTTTAGCATAACTCAACTTTAGAATAAATTATTTTAGGCAGAACTGGGTTAGTCCTCTACATTACCTTCTTTAGTTCTGCTTTTGGAGGTGGAGGTTCCTGATAGAAGCTCGGCATTGGTGTAGCTTTGAAACCTAAAGTTTTTCTCAACATCTTAATCTCGGCTTTCTGTGTTTCCTATTTTTAACAGATAAAGATTTTTATCTGAATCAATAACACAGTTTGCTGTCTGAAATATTGGAGGTCGATTCGTATTTTGATACGAGAAGCGCACCTTGGTTTTAGCTTGCAGATTACTCTTCTCAGCTTCCTGTGCCTGAATTCTTTCCTCAAGTTTCGAATAAAACTGTCCAAACAAGATTTATCACAATGGGAAAAAAATAAAATAAAAATGATAAGAAAAACCTCAGGTCCATATACTAAGTACTAACCTCTTTCCTTTTTTCAGCCCTTTCGTTGCACTTAAAACTGAAATTATAGGCAGGAATAGTACCCAATTTGAGGGGCTTGGCTTCCCCAGCTGTTGGATTTCTGGAAAGTAGTTTTAAGGATAGACCAAAGAAAACTTTGTTCAAAAGCAGAGACTTCATTTTGAAATCCTAAAAAAGAAAAGGATACGATGAAGACTCAGAGATCTCATCGACTTTAATGGAAGGGCCTTTTGCAAGTGTTTTCAGCTTTGTCTTCTTACTGTGATAAAAAATAAAACTTCATCGACCACTGTTCGAGAAATGAAGCATTATGAAGATCCAACTAGAGAAGGGAATAGAAAAATTAGTTCATTAAAATGAATAGAACATACAGAAATTCTTCAGTCTGTTCTCCTTTTGTGGAAGACAACATTACACTAGGTAGTCCATGCTGCTGCTGCTTGGATTAAGGAAAAACAAATATTAAAAAACTCAAAAACAAGGAGTTTAACATCTTGAGAATCAAGATACTATTGGAGAAAACAATGTTAAAAGGTCACATACATGTTCATGTTGTGCCTTATCAGCACTTTGTCTCTTGTTGAACGATTTGCTTTTTGTTCCTAAAGGAGAAGCAAATTTGCCGTTTGAAGATTTCTTAATTTCTTTTCCATCTTTGCCCTTGCTCGAAGGTTTCCCGTTGTTGGCCCTTATCATAACCTCTGGTGGTTTCGAATTATTTGGTTCTTGAGGCTTTTCAACTTCATATTCCTATAAGTACCGGCTATTAGAGAATCTTCGAAATAACAAATTAACCTGTGTTCAGCTGAAAATGTTGAGGCAGTGTTTGAGGAGTGATGTCTTAAAAAAAATAAAATAAATAAGAATGACAACTAAAAATATAAAGTTAAAAGTAAGTGTTTGGTGAATTATAAAAAAAAAAGAGCCGCCAAACTTCTTCGTTGAGCATGAATTCAGTAAATTTGGATAAATCAAACAACATCAAAATAGAAGTTGGCATTTGAAATAAACTAGATATCTTCTAAGCTCATAATCACTTCATATTAGGTGCTTCCAAAATTCTCCCTCACAATCTTCTACCTTTGAGTGGCTGGTGTATTCTTGGCCCGAATGTACTTTCTTCTCCTCATTTAACTCAATGGCATTTTCAAAAATCTCAGTAAACCCTTCAGTCTCAAGTGTGCCATTCAATGTCCCGTTTATTTGCGCTGAAATTGGGAGTTGTTGGCAATCACTGTTCTCGAGATCCCCATTATCAGCATCCATCATGCTCGATTTAGCTAAACAGAAATCAAGATACATATCAAAAGAATGTGAATATAAGACCCATTATCGAGTTTCTAACATGAAAAGACAGGCACATGGATCAAATATTCTGCATTTCAATGAATGTACAAGTGTAAAATTAATCAATATAGATGATGACAGCACAAAACGTACTCATGACGAGACCAAATTCTACTGCATAATCAGAGTAACTCAAAAAGAGCTAAATTAGAAGCAACTGGTGCAGGAAACATAAAGGAGTATTTACAAAATCTATTTTTTATCAACTTTTATAAGACGCAATAAATCCCCCAAAGAAAAGTTAAAGAACAATAAAAGGGATCTCATTCAGAATCCCATCTTCACCAACAAGAATGCAAAAAAAAAAGAAACAGGATCATAAAATTAGCAGAGCTGGAGGTAGTAACTGGAGGCAGAACCTTAATTTACATTTTGAGNAGAAGAAGAATATATTACATTCTCAGTAGCACATACCTTGGTATCGATGAGAAGCAATGACACATTATGGATTCTCCATAGCTGGAAAAAAGGGCTTACCTTTGAGAGCATTTGCAGGAAAAATATGTGTCAAAAGTGTATTAAAGAATCATTCACTCAACGTTTAGAAAAATCTGTGTGAATTCTTTAATTAGTTGCTTGTGATTCATAGCAGGACTCGTGTGATCAAATACGATGGAATCTTTCCTCAACACTAATGGGCGGCTATATTTATTGAAGATTAGAAATTATTTTAGGCTCTTTTTGTTTCGAGGGATTTACTGAGGGATTTGAAATCCATAGATTTCAAATTTACAAGTTCAAATGCTCATACATGTTGGGATGATAATGGAAGTTGGAAGATTTCAAATTCATGCTAGATGATTTTAGTCATTATTTTGAAGGATTTGAAATGACTCCTCAAACCTAGTCATTTGAAATTCATTGTTGACGACCACGCCGTCCGTGATCATGTAGGTTCATCACCACCGCGAGTCAACACTATCGGTGCGAGCTAGACAATTTATTTATAATATTTTCAACACATCCATTCAATGAGTGTGCAAGTAAAAAAATTTATACTTCAAAAATTTTAAAATCAAGGAATTTCAAATCCCCCAAAACAAACAGAGCCTTATATATTTTACTTTAATTTACTATGAAATTTTTGGACGGCTTCTTAGTTTTTTTGTGATATTTAATTTTATTCCATATCGTTGAATATTCCTAATAAATTACTCTTTTTTTTCCAATTTATATGAATATATTGCATTTATTTTGCTTTCATTTATTATTCGTTTCGATTTCAACTTATGATAGGAATTTACTAAACATATATATTTTAAACATCCTTCCAATCACACGTGAGTTATTGTTGTGTACAAATTGTTATATTTACCGAGTACCGAATCGAAAGATTCGTTCCCCGGACCGATCTCTCGAGGAAGGCGGTTCATAATTTAGCTTTGGCATTGATAACACATAAAATCCTAAACACTCTAATCAAATAAGGGAGTTTGAATAATTATTAACTAAGAAATAAAATAAACAATAATCTACCTAATAATATAAACGATACAACGATAAAGAAGCTAGGGAGTCGGGGACAATTAACTCAAGTTCTATTCGCACACCGGGACATAAATCATTCTATTCTAGATTGACGCTCTAGCTTAAACATCTAGCGGTTCGCTCCCAATAACTCTTCGCAACAAAGGATTGAACATAGGAGAAAAAACTCGAGCATACGACGCAGGCCAATTATCCCAATCCCAATAACTTTTCGTAACAAGGGACAGGTCATCGACAAGCACGTATTTCAATCCAAAACCAGTAGATTATTCAATTACGAAATCATCTACCACATGCGAGCCTAAGTCTACGACTTCTCCCCTTTCGGTTCTAAAAATCGCTAATTAACTAGAAGGTGATTAATCAACTAATCATATAGAATTACAAACCCTAACTCGACAAATTAACATTCAATCGTTTTCAATCGCAAAATCGAAGTGTCACTCTTCGATTATATCAATCAACCAAACACAAATTCATCAATTCCGAATTATATCAACTAACATAAGCATGAACAAATCAAGCCCGACAAATACGAATCAAACAAGAACAATCATCCCCTATCCGTAGCAATAAGAATTAGCTAAGTAATATCAATTCAAGAAGAAAAGGGAAGAAGAAGAAGAAGTAGAAGAAGGGGGAGAGAAGGAGAGAAGAAAAAATGGAGAGGAATGGAGAAGAATCAGGTTTTGGGGTAAGAAATTCGGTCAAAATATGTTTCCCCAGGATCCTAATGCTCATCTCCCTTCCAAAACTCGAGAAAAACGCACTTTTGCATAAAAAAACAGACCTTAGCGCCGCTAAGGCAAGTTAGCTGTTTGCCTCTGACGTCGGTAAGGAAGCATAGCGCCGCTAAGGAGGACTGGGCTGCGCGACTTTGCATTTTGGGCTTGTTTGGGCTCGTCCAAACTAGGAATTAAGTTTCGTTTTTTTCCTATGCGTCACTAACGAACCCCTCTATTCAATGATGCTTCTATGACCAAATTATTCTTGAAATCCCATTGTCCCAAAGCTCTTGACCAGCACACCAAAGACGTGTTTCGCACGACTTCGCGTTTTGGGCCCGTTCGGACTCGTCCAAGCTTGAAATTGAGCCGCTTCATCGTATATGTCGCCAACGAACCCGTCTACAAAACCATGATTGCCTGATCAATTTTCGGGCAAAATCTTTTCCTCACAAGGCTTCCGACCTGCACACTAAAAACAAGAATAAAAACTGGAAAAACACACGAAAAACACATAGAAGACCAAAATAGAGTAAAACACACAATAAACTACAAAAACGACTAAAAACCAACGAAAAGACCGAAAACGGGGGAAAAAGAATGACATAACAACAACGAAGAACGCAACAAAAATAGGACAAACAATTATTAAAAACAGAATATATGCGTACTTTAAAAAAAGAATCCTACCCAATTTAAACTTCTCATCACTTTCCTATTAACACGTTCACTATAATATAGCAATTAGTCAACAAATATTGTCATATATGTCTTTTCTAATAAAAAGAATCCTAATCCTAATAAATAGAATCCAAATCCTAACCCCTATGAAAATCTAAAACATTTTTAATCGCCCGCGTATTCATTTTCGTTCAACATATCAAATTTATTTTTCATTCACATTTATAGTTTTTATAAAACCTCTAATAGTGTCGGCAAAGGCAAGCATCTATAGTTCTTAGGCAAAGCCTAGATTCATTTTTCAGTCATATTTATAGTTCTATACCAATCATCATGAGTGAAAATAGTGTCGGCAAACCAAACAATCATGGTGGCAGAGGCACACAATCACAAGGCATACATAGACCAATCATAATGAATGAAAATACTGTCGGGAAAGCAAACAATCATGGTGGCAGAGGCAGACAATCACAAGGCATACATAGACCAATCTTCATGAATGAAAATAGTGTCGGCGAACCAATCAATCATGGTGGTAGAGGCAGACAATCACAAGGCATAGATAGAACAACAGATAAATCGAAAGAACAAGGTATGTTTCAATTTCAAGATATGTGAACTTAAATATGAACCCATGTGAGTTATTTTTTTATTTTTTATTAAAACATTTACCTTTGATGTGTTTGTTTACCTGATATGTTGTATTTTAACATATGGCACACATTATTCGGTTTCTTCTCTCTCGTCATCATACTCGCAATTTAAAAGATAAAATAAAATCAGAAGTAATACACAATATTATGTATAATAAAATCAAAACTGATGCAGAATATAGTTTGTTTATTTCAGCCCATGTTTTGTACTAATATGTAACATATGTTGTAAATATCTGTTTGTAACTGTACCTGTTATTTTGTTCATTCTCTGAGTGCTTTCATCCCATCCTTTCACTATAGTTGATCTACTTGTGAACTTTGTTGTAGTCAAATCACTATGCCACACACATGAGTAGTTTGTTCGACTTGACCTTCACACTCAATTTCATACTCATGCAACAAAGTCAACATCATATAAGATTAATTACATGGAATGCCTACATATTCCATGTATTGCATATAAAATTTTGTATGATAATCTTTGAACATTTACTATACTAAATGTTTGTGTTTCATATCATAAAGCTACATATTTGATTTATATTTAAAATGGACATGAAATATAATTTCAGATAGTAGATTGTTAGAAAGTGGACAATGCACCAAGAGAAAGAACAATGTGGGAAGATGTGAAGATATCAGCAAATTGGTGAATACAGGACCATTTGAATCGAATTTACAAGGTAGTGTTCAAAACATGATTCACCATAGCTAGACTTGTCAAAACGGGCCGGCGGGGCGGGCCAGCCCCGGGCCGCCAAAACCCGCCTTTCNAAAAAAACTACACAAAATTCACAATACAATTGAATAAACCAAGTCATTTCATTCAAATCAAATCCAAACAAATAAAATATTAAAATCATAGACTTATTTTTTAATTTTAAGACTCTGTCGAGTGTTGACTGTTTCTATTTTCATGTGGCATGCGCGATTTTCTAATATTGTAATACAAATACAATGTAAAATACTTACATTACATTATTACATATATTATTTTTTTTTTCTGTATTGGCGGGCTGACCCGCGGCCCACCCGCCCCTCCCCGCCCCGCCAAAGCACGCGGCCCGCGCGGGCTAGCCCGTTTACGGCGGGCCTATAAAATACCAACCCAACCCACCTGTTTGGCGGGGCGGGGCGGGCTGGCCCGCGGGCCCAGGCCCGTTTTGACAAGTCTAATCATAGCTAACAAACAATGTACTGTATTTAAATTGAAGTTATTATGCACATTATTGAAGTTGTGTTTAGCTGTTTTCAGACTGTAGATGATATGCACATGACAATGTGTATAAATATGTTAATGTCCTTACACTAAACTTTCATGTATGTATTTTGTGTTTTTACCTCTGTTTCTGTTGCCAACTAATGAACATGTATATGTTGCACTCCAAAATCGATCATAATACACATGCACAAAAAATATTTTGTAAGGATTAGCAGTCAAGATAAAAATTCTTTACAACAAATAGTTCTGTATGTGTTTTTTCTGTAAATGAGCAGCAATATGCAACAATCAGCTGTTAGAACTGCCATGTTTGAATAGTCAAATGGATTACATGAGATCATTTCAAATGCATAAAGACAGACAAAGAAGTAAGAATATGATATGAAAACAGAATGTACGTTTTAACATTACTTAGAGCAATAATCTTACCAAATTGTACATATTCCCGTGCTTTTATATGAAATTCCTCGGTGCCTGTAAGCAATGTAAAGAAGATAGGCGAATTAAAACAACTACAATATTCAAATTCCGAATTACGAAATAAAATTAATGACATAGTATATATTGAAAAAATACATAAGATTTCATTTCAGGCGTCAATAAATTTTTAACAAACTTCGACATTCAAACCATAAAAGTCGAACTCGAATAGATATGCTCACTCTTACCACATCTGTCAGTTTGTATCATTATATTTTGAAAACCAGTGAAAATTACATAGGATTTGTTAATCGATTTTAAAAAAAAACACCAGCACACGCTCTGTATGTGAATCTTTGTTTAAACTAAAAAATATTTTCGATACTGTAACAAGAATTTCAAAACAATTATAGTGCATGGCCAAAACAATAATGTTAAAAACAGTTTAATTATTACAAATTAAAAATATATGATACCATCTATTATTTGTGTATGCCTGACCATATCAATCACCGATCTATACGCTCACTTGAAGAAATCGGTCGTCAAAGGTTTAAAAAGATTAATTTTAAAACAGAGACGACAGAATCTTAAGTTCATTTCCACAGTGGTATACATGAATCCGTTCAGAAAACATATATTTTTTTTTGGGCCGAACAACATGATAAACAATAAAATTGGGACGAGATAGATAAAAGAATAATAAAAAAATTGCCTTATGGATCAGATCCATTAAGTAATTAACATATTTTACTGAATTTTTTGTAAAAAAAAAAAAAAAAAACGCTTAAAGCCTTCGATCTACAAAAACATATATACGAGATCCACGATAGATGTCAATTTTGTTTTTGGTAATCGATCGAACTATTAGCTTTGATTTCGAAAATAAACGAACAAAGATTTCAAAAAACCTAAATTCAAAATCGACATTAATAATATAAAACAAAAACGCTGAATCCTTAAGATCTACAAAAACATATACACAATATCCACAAGAGCCGTGGATTATGTTTTTTTCATCGACCCAAAATGATTTGGAGAGCTTAATTTGGAAAAAAAAAACGAAAAGAAGTATCCAGAAAATGAGACGGTGGAGAGAGCGAAGAGATAAGAGAGAAAGTGGGCGAAATGAAAAATGAGAGAACCCTACTTTTTCGGACAAACTACCTACTTATACTTCCCAACAATTGCTTGCAGCTGTTAGATCATAATTGACTAACTCAGACCGTTCGATCATCATTTTAATTGATTTGGGGCCGGTTAGTTTAGTTCTGATACAGGCCCGATTAAAATTTTGTAAGTTAGACTTATTCTATAATGGATTGGGCTTATAATTAGGCACAACAATAAAATAATGGTCCATTTAAATTGATAAATTAATGTGCATTTTATAATATAAGTGATCATCCTAAATATATTTAGTAATATATTATTTTTTTATGTCAGTGATTTATAAAATAATTTCCATTAATTCACAATCAATTTTTTAAAAATTAATTTAGTAATTTATTTAATTTTAGTAATTTATTAACATAACATATACTTACAACAGTACATGTGAAACAATTTTTTAAAATTTAATTTAGTAATTTATTTAATTTTAGTAATTTATTAACGTAACATATACTTTCAACATTACAATTGACCGTGTTAGAAAAATTAAATCCAAAGGATTTAATTTTACAGGTTCAATGACGTCACCTGTTGTCAAAGGATTATTTTTTATTTTTACAGGTTCAATGACGTCACCTGTTGTCAAAGGATTATTTTTTATTGTTCAACGAAACAATGATCCATCGAAAAAATCTTTCTATCAGTATCAGAGTGTGTTACATGGTTTTCAATACTTACCATTATCTGATGTGACTAATGGTATTATGTTATTCAATTCATACTTAAATTGCATAATATACTTTAATTAGTCCTCATCTTTATGCATCTAAAAAATTTCGATTAATGTTTTTTATTTTTAATTTAGTGCTTGGAACGGGTCATTCTTCCACACCACACAATCAGACTCATTACAATACTGAAAAAGGTAATACATTTGTTTAGCCCCTCGTCAACCTATTGATTGACCAGATATTACCTTGCCCTGTCGCCGCCTCCCCTGATCTGTAAGCCAATCCAAGACTCGCCATACTTGAACATACAAGATAGCTTTTACCCCCGCCTTATTAGTTTAGCCCCTTCGTGCCTTACTGCTTACCAGCCTTAAAAGATTGGGGCCAACACTTTAAGGCACCTAAGCTAATAAGATCTTTTGTCGATGTGCCATCCAGGCTCGACGTCAAGGTTTGAAGATGCTCGACCATACAAACTTTTTGAAGCGAAGTGAAGTCAAAGAGTGTGTTCGGAGGGCTTGTGAGACTCAAAGAACGAAGCGGAGCGAAGTGGAGTCATAGAGTTTGGGAGAGAAGTTGTAATATTTTTTTAAAATATACAACTTTAAAAATATAATTAAAGTTTATTATTTTGACAAACTGAGTGTGAAATGTTCTTGTTGGTTTTTTGAATTTATCTTGTTTTAGGAATATGCAAAAATTCTTATATGGGTGTATTCAATTAAGACTTTTAAGAACTTTTTAAGACTTTTTAGGTGAGTGACTTTGGTAGATTTTGTGAAATTTTTATGACTTTTTTGGACACTCTGAGATTTTTATAACAAAATCTCACTAATTTGATGAGATTTCTATAGAGACTTTGTCTTCGTAATTTTATTAAAAAAAGGTCTCCAAAAGTCTTATAAAGTTTTTCTATTTTGAATATCGGGTGACTTATTGTCACTCTTAAAAAGTTTCAATTGAATATACTGAGAATTTTAGATATTTATAAAAAGTCTTTAAAAATCTTAATTGAATATATGCAGACTTTATAGAAGTCTAAAAAAATTTCAGTTAAATACACCAAAATTTTGAAAGTCTTATTTGAATACACCCTCCTTAGTGTGGGATATCTTCTTAATGATATATATCAATATGTATCGAAGAGGCTCCTACAAAGTTGATTTCCCAAATTATTTGGACGAATGTTTNAAAAAAAAGGATATGTACGATGTTATATATTGTGTTTGAAATACTAAAAACTTGAAATTATGTTACGTTATTTTTAAACAAAATCAATCAATTAATTAATTAAATAAATATAAAAGGATTAAAAATTGGCGTGGGGATGACATGAGATTGAAGATTATTTCACCATATCAATTTGATTTTATTTTTACCGAAATTAATGAATTTTGTTACAAAAAATAAAGTAAGGCTTTTGGATTGATTGAAAAATCATATTTTTAAAAGTATTACTCAACGTGATTTTTACCAAAAAATATCGAGCTGGTTACCAAAAAATAAACATATGAAAAGATGGTATGCAACACTTTTAAAGCTCGATATTTTGTGTAGATAAGTATCAAAGTTGGGGAAAAAAATCCCGATGGACCTGCTGAAATTGGGGAAGATGAGAGAAATTTGGGGAGGAGATTTGGGAAGAGATGACCGATTCTATTCGGTTCAACATAATTATCTATTTTTTTTCCTTTTCCTTTTTAATCTTATTTTCTTTAATATTTAATTATCTTCTTACTTAATTAGGAGTTAATAAATTAGATTTGGTTAATTAGTATAATAATCTTTAAAGTTGTTAAAAAATCCATGTAGGTTGTCAAAGTTGTTAAAAAAAGGCAAAAAAATTTGAACAGATTATCAAAGATGTTTAAAAAAAAAATAAAAGGGATAAAATATTATTACTATCACATCCGAACAGATTACCAAAATTTTTGAAAATCATTATCACATGTGTGTTTTAGAATATTACTTATAATAATAAGTCAATTATTTATTTTTTGAGTCAAAGTTACTATTTATGTATTTTTCCAACAACCTCTTTATATTACTATATAAAGAAATATCAAATAATTGTAAAAGATTTTATTTTTGGTCACGGGAACAAAATAGCACCGTAGGCACCCCCAACTCGATTTTTTTCGTTACCACGCAGTTTAGGTATTGGAAATGGCAGCAACATCTTGTTTCCATGGCTCTCTGTCTCTCATTCCCTCGTTTAAAAAGTTTGATTTAATCATGATTGGAGAAAACAGTAAATGGCTGCCTTTTTCATATTCCTCTTCCTCCTCAAGAAGCAGCAGAAGACGATTCCGCATCAGATTGAAAGTAGTCTCGAGGTCGTCTCCCGCTGCTCTGCGTGGCATCAACTATAGCATTCCTCCGCCGGCGGCGGCGACCGACTCCTCAACGAGAGAATCCGGCGCGAGCGCAGCAAGAGACAATCGCCTCCCATAGATTCCAAGGAGGCCGAAACTTACATTAAGCTCGTCAAGGAGCAGCAGCAGAGGGGTCTCCAGAAGCTCATGGCCCAGGCCAACACAGCTAATTCCTCCACAAACTATAAGGTGGATCCTTACACCCTCCGCGCTGGGGACTATGTCGTGCACAAGAAGGTTGGGGTTGGGAGATTTGTGGGTATCAAATTTGTTGATGCTTCTAAGGCTTCCTCCCACCCAGTCGAGTATGTCTTCATAGAGTATGCTGATGGAATGACCAAGCTGCCCATTAAGCAGGCGTCTACCGCTTTCATCTGTATGTTTTTTTTTTTTTTTTCAGTTTTCTTTTGATGCATAAGCTCACGCACTAATCCTCAACTTCTATTCGTGTGGTCATCAGACCAAATGAAACCAAGAAGCCTCGGGCGCTAAGCAAATTGCATGATACTAGTGCGTGGGAGAGAAGAAGGATCAAGGGTAAGGTCGCGATTCAGAAAATGGTTGTAGACCTGATGGAGCTCTACCTCCACAGACAAACAGAGACGGCCTCCTTATCCTAAAGTTCCCGCCATGGCTGCTTTTGCATCTCACTTCCCGTACGAGCCAACTCCAGATCAGAAACAGGTATCTGCAATGGGTGGTAACTGGTAACTCTCTCCATTGTTTATTTTTCCTACATAGATAAACTGTTGAGTTTAGACAGGTTCCTTCTCTTGTTTTGTCTCGGGCTAATTTCTCACAGTATAATTCTCACTTTAGGCGTTCATGGATGTGGAAAGGGATTTGACTGAGCGAGAGAACCCCATGGCCAGGTTGATTTGTGGCGATGTTGGTTTTGGGAAAACTGAAGTTGCACTGCGTGCCATATTTTGTGTAGTCTCTGCTGGAAAGCAAGCTATGGTTTTAGCCCCAACTATAGTGCTGGCAAAACAACATTTTGATGTTATCTCGGAGCGATTCTCTGCGTATCCTAATATCAAAGTTGGACTTTAAGTAGGTTAGGCCTGTATGTTGGTTGGTCTGGGCCTCCGATATCTACAGATTGCCTTAAATGGGATCTATACTGGACAACTTTGGCCATTGAGCTCCAACAGTACCAATTAATTTGCAGGAATTAGTTTTTCTATTACTGTATTATTCGTGAATTTGTTTCAGTTGTATATCCATTTTATTTTTTAAATTAGAGACCCTTCGGGCAAGTAGCCTTAGATGGGATTGAGTGAGGTTTCAGCGCCCTGAGTTCATGAGTAATTAGGACACTATCTAGCAAAGAAACAGCATGTTTTCTTATCTGTGTGAGCGTGCTCTCGCATGTGATCTTATGTTACAACAAATACAGGCATCACGTCTAGTAATTATTGAATGAGCTTGAGTTTAAACATGGTCTAAAGAGAAGCTGGCTTATACACATTTCTGTGACCTTTTCGTCCCTTTCTGTTTTTGGTAAATTTTACATGTGGTGTTGTGAATTTGAAATGAACATTGAAACTCATTATAAAAGACATTGATAGTTTAAGTTTGGAGTCCATGAACTTGAACTGGTTTGTATCATAGATTTCAATTACATAAAACATTGAGTTTCCGTATGTGCAGTGTATGAAAAAGAGAATTGATCATGAGAGTGTCATGGTCGTAATCAGATGATTCAGATCATTTTTTTATAAACTGGGTTTTGTGATTAGAGATGAGGATTTAGGTGTGTTTGGGTTGAATATTGTGGTTAGCTCTACCATCACTATTAATTGTTTGAATTATGGTTGTTAATTGCTAGGTTTGGTTTGGACTTGTGGCACCTACTGGTGGAGGTTGCCTCCCTGACATTTTACTTTTTGTGGTTATCATTTCACATATATTGATAGGATCGTCAATTCTACAATTTTTTTCCGGACTGTCTTATTGAGCTAGCAATTTCATTTCTGAGTTCTTGCATTGATCCCTACTGTCCTGGTTTTAAAACTTCATTTTGCAGTCTGTATTATTGTTGGTCTTCTTTCTTGGATGCATAATATTGTGTAATGCTACTGCTTTGCTCTTGGACCACTTATGATATAAGATATTCTAACTTCTCTAGTGTGGAATCCATGTTGATTGAATCAGACCAAGTCCGAGAATGAGGCACATCTGCCGATGATAAAACAAGGTGATCTGGATATTGTAGTTGGGACTCATTCATTACTGGGCAATCGTGTTGTTTATAGTAACATTGGGCTGCTTGTTGTCGATGAAGAGCAGGTTAACTCTTTTTCCTTTCACTTTACACGGATGGAATTGACTTGACCACTCACCTATCATGCATATTGTGCAGATCCATTTATTTTTTAAAATTTTGTTACATCAAATTGTAAACTGAAAGAATTATATTTTTGGCAATGAAGTTCAAAAATTAATATAAGTGAAGATATGTTCTTGCAAGCATGAGAAATAAAAAAGGGAAGTTCTTTTATTTATATTTATATTTATATATTCGAATTTATTTATATTTATATTTATATATTCGATTTATATACATATATATTAGATTACTTGATCTTATTGTGATTTATTTTGTGTAGGAAATCGGATCCTATGGAGATAAGGAAAGAGAGGCATGCATTAGAAGGAGATCTTGGAGAGAGAAGAAGGAGATCATCACTTGCCAAATATCTTGCTACTTAATAGGAAGGAAATCAAAAAAGGAGTCCTATGCTTGGAGAAGACTCCAACCCTAAGGAGGCTGTATAAATACCTTACATGAAGAACGAATTGAAGAGCTGAGAGCATTTTCTTCTATTCCATATTCGAGCTTCAAGCTTTTTGTGTTTTATTTTCGTTGTTCAGTTTTCGGTATTCTTACGTCATCGAAGAACTGAAGTCTTTTGTTTTGATTCCTTTGTTTTTCATTCAAACACTTGTGTGATTAGTGCTTAGGGATTAAGTACTGTCTTTAGCTCGAGGGATTCGAGAGGTAAAGTCCACGGGACGTGGCCGGAGAAGTAGTTGATAGAATCGTATGTAGTTGTGGTTAGGCTTGAAGGGAGTTCGAGTCGTGTAAGTCCAAGAATACTTTATAAACTAAAAAAAAAATTAATTGTTTATGCAAAATGATTTTCCGTTTTAGTGAATTATTCTTAATTAAAAGATATCAGTTATCATTTTTTTCTTCTAATTTATGAACATGAAAGTTATGAATTTTCTTCTGTGGCCAATAATTCGCATAGTGACTCAACAGTCAACCCGTTAGGTTATCTATTCAAAGTTGTATTTAATTTTTTAATATTTGTACGCTTCCATTTTTATTTTATTAACAAAAGTTCAAACCTATATGTTAAATTGGATAAAAATATTATTTTACTTTTATTTGTACTAAATATTTATATTTTATGAGATATAAAATAAAACAACGAAAGAAAGGGAACTAGGAAACAATTTAAAAAGAAAATTAATATAATTTTAGCATAAATTATGTCTTATGTATTCATAGTAAACTAATCGAAGCACACTTTAATTATAAACACACAGGAATAACCATTTCTAGAATCATGTGGCTGAAAAAGGTGATCAAATGTTAAGTCAACATGAAATCAACAATCACAAGTAAATTTCTGATCTTTAAAACACTTGAAATATTGAGATTTATGTAGATACTTATGTATGTCTATGCAAGTTGAACATTAATAAATTGTTAGATTATTTATATGTAGTATCATATTTGAAAGTTTATAAGTATTTATTATGTTTAATAAACTAAACATAACAAGTTGTATATCTAAGCTATCATATTACCTTCAAACATAAATTAAAAACAAGATAAAAAATTGGCCATACCTCTAAACCGATTGCATATGGGAATCAACATTAGCCCAAGTGTAGTGTATTGAGTATGTTGTTTTTTCTTGGCAAGTCGTCCCGGGGTTGGATCTCATGGTGTGCGTGTGTTGGAAATTTTTCTTTCTTTATGGTTAGTTGAGCTATGCCTGAAAAGAAAGGATATATTAATATTAAATTGATATATTTGTTTCACTCAATATATGCTAAGAGGGTATTTCAGGTGGATCGATTGGGTTGTATAACTCTTGATGGCTAGTTTTCATCATGTTATTTCATTAATTGTTGGATTTGTTTTTATTTAGTTTTCTTGTTAGTGGACTATGGAGTTGTTTATTAGTGGGCCTTGTTGGAAATAGGGTCCACCAGATACATAGGGCATGTTTGGAACTACTTATCAAATGAATTTTTGAATGAAGAAATTATGTGCAGCACGACACCTCACCATTTTATTTACACTCCTACCATTAAAACAAATAATTTTGCACAATTGTCATCCAATGTCATTTTATTTGTAAAGTTACGAGAATGGTTGGTTAGGCAATATAATTATTTAACTTATCACGAATCACGATCTTATTTAATTGAGGCAGTTACTAAAAAAAAGTCTTTCATCTTTATCACTTGGAACCGACGCCTCTTTCAACTCAAACCGCAAACCGAAGGAGATGATTCGGAAGAAAGTTTGTTGGATGACGGCGCGTTTTCAGTTCACGGCAAGAAATTTTCAACCACCACATCGAGATCAACAACGTCTGGATCTCCCACACGGACGTTGTTCATTGACGGTGTGTTTTCGGTTCACGGCGTTCCCGGCCCGTTCGACGTGGATCGATCCTCGCCGTGCAATTCTTCCGGCAGCCAGGGCAGGTATGGTTTAAATCAGGCGGCGCAGTGGACCAGCATCATCAGATCGTTGAGCTCCAGCCAATTTGTCTCTTTCGCAATTGGGCCGAATTCAGTTGCGGATACGATTCTACGAGATTACCGAAATTTGAGCGGTATTTCCGATTTCGCCCCTCCCAACACCGGCCTCATTTCTTCCCGTGTTAGTGGTCTTCCTTTTTGTGGCTTAGTGTTGTTTGATTTTGGTGTTAGACTTTTTTTTTTTCCTTTTTTGTCCTTTTGGCAGGTTGATTTGCTGTGTTGTATTTTATTAGTGTGGCTAGTTGAGTTGTATATTTTAGGTATTGTGTTAGATTGGCAGGATAGTAGTAGTGGTGATCTTGGGATTTCTTTGCTTTCTAGAGTTTAGTTAGTTTTTATCCCTTGGTTTCTGTAAATCCAGTGGGATGGTTAATTCCCTTTGTACATTATTTTTTGTTTTTAATTTTACTGCAATTTTTAAGTATCTGTATAGTATATCTAATGTACAGTATATATTTACAGCAATATGTTCAGCTATATATGTTTTGCGTGTATAGGTAGGCAGTATATGTGGTGTCTCTCGGATCTTCAGGTCATTACGGTGAAAAAGTGCGGTGGGAAAAGAGTTCACTTTTCACGTTGAAGATGAAACCGCAGTAGATGATTCAGAAGGAAAGTTTTAATAGTATATGTTGTGTATATAGACATTATATAGGCAGTATATTCGCAAGATCCAGATTATCGACAGTATATGTTGTGTATATAGACAGTATATTTTTAGTATATGTTTTTGTAGACAGAATAACATATATGTTTAGTTTATAAAACATGTTAATGCAAGGTCTAGGTTTCCTATGTTCATCACAATTGTCTATTGTGGTTATAGTTAGTATATTTTTAGTATATATATTGCGTTTTTTATACAAGACGGACACCAAAATATTTTTTCGTATATGTTGTGGTTATAGTTAGTATATTTTTAGTATATATTGCGTTTTTTTGTACATAACATATAATAATTCGGTTTACACTTGGTGTATAATCTTTTACAATTTATATAACATGTAAGTATATATATAGAGTTTTCTGTTTTTTATTTTCTTATTGAATATGCAACCATTATATAAATAATTTTATTAATTTTTAATTAGTATTAATAGATAATTTATAATAAAAAATAAAATTATTTTTATTTTTGTATATACAATATAGATGTCAAATTAAAGCTCGTCGAAAGATGATTAATTCGATATATTATATATAAAAATTGATAACAAACAAAAAAGTTATTAAGTTTTGAAAATTGTTGGGTTTTTTTATACTTTTTTTTTATGAATAGGAGTTACCTAAAAAAAGGGAACTGAATGCGTAAGGTAACACAATCTCGCAACAAATAGTACACTCATTTCGTAGGTTTGCAAATATTTTATCCTTAATAGTAGGTTTGCAATTACTGTAAATCAGGTCGGATGTGTGTAAATTTTCCGAAGTCCATTTCAACAATAATTTATGTTTGGTGGATAATTAAGAATGGATGTTTGGATTCCAGAAAGTCAATTTTAAAGAAGTAAAAAATAGAGACTTTTTGAAAAGTCTTTTTATAAAATGGACTTTTACAAAAATGCTCCCAAACAAGCACATAACAAACAAGAAGCCGTGTATGCTCATCTTCATGCAGAACACAACCAATAACCTATGACTTGTTTTATTTGTGTTTCCAAAATCAACATTTTGGGTCTACAGAAATATGTGAATGTTTTGTATCCATTTCTGTTTTTTCAGAGATTTGGTGTAAAACAGAAAGAGAAGATTGCTTCATTCAAAACTTGTGTGGATGTGCTCACACACACTTTCAGCAACACCTATTCCAAGAACACTTTATTTAGCGTTAACAGGGTTCCGTGATGCCATCAAATGACTAAATCTGATTTTTCATGTGCTCATCTACCTTAAAAGGATCAGGTCAGGTATTGGTATAGCCTCACACGCATTGTACCCGAATTTGGTTTGGTTACAAACCTAAATGTAATCGTGTTGCATAGACTAATTGATGATACAATGCAGTAATGCCTAGATTTTATCTACTTGTGCATAATATAATGCAAATAGTTGTGGCAATTATTACTCTGCATGTTGCTCAAATATTTGAATTCATTATGGATTAGTGGAAGCACAAACCAAATTCGAATTCATTATGCATCCAAGAACGTCTTTCTTTAAGAATGAAAAATCACAAACATAGATGGGCCAATTCATTATGTTTTTCGAAATAAAAATGCATAACTTGTGAAATTCAAACACAGCAAACAATTTGAAAATACAGAAGCTAGAAGAATGTTTATCTATCCATTTGCACCTGAGAAAAATATTTCCATTAATTACACATCTCTCTAGTTTCTCCCCATTTCAAATTTTCAACAAAACCTCAATCGGTGGAGTCATTGAAGGTCTCTGCCAGATACTCGGCCAAGCTCTGCTGAGAGATCGACCCCTGTGGGCCCCCTGGCGAAGCTTTCGATTTCTTCATAGAAATTGATTTCGGAAGCCACGATTGATTCGAATCACGAGCACATGCCTCACCACTCTTCCAAACAACGGGACTCAAAAACCGCCAAGGATCCTCAACCATTTCCTTCCTGTAATACAAATCTGGCGGTCGATCAACCGAGATGAAATCACGTGGGCCCGCTCCTCGACTGGAAAAACTCGGCCCAGAATTCGGGCCCAAACCTCTCCCGCGTCCCGGGTTATAGTGGTTGGAATTCGTTGGTCTTGGGCTTGGGCTGGTAAAATTACCGCCTCTTGGGAAATTGGGCCGAGGGTGAAAGTTATGGTTATTATAGGCGCCTCCACCTGGCCCAGCCCAAGGTTTTGGGGGATATTGCTGGGGTCTGCTTAAGGGGCTAGTTGGGCCCAAGGGAGGGGGAGGCCCATTATTGAATTGGGTTTTGGGTGGGTAAGGGTTGAGTGCCCCAGGACCTGGAAAGGTAACCTGTGAATGATAACTGTACTCTGGGTTTGGGGTCGTGGTCGTGCCTTGATAGAACAGCCCTATTGAACGTAATTGAAAGGCATTAACAATTTTAAAATAATACTTCAATATAGGAACTGCAAAAATTTTATCTTGTACAGACAGAAGAATATGCTATATTTTTAAGCAAGGACGAAGCTATATTTTCTAAACTTTTTTTTTTTTNATTTCTTTTGCTACCAAAGGTGCACGAAAAGTAAATTTAAAATGAAGGAAATGTAAATGAAAGACGGAAGGAAAGGAGGACTGGAAACAATACAAAAAAATCGGCAGTGAAACATAAGAAAAAATTACTTGGGGGTGTGTTGTGATGTCCATGAAAAACCTGAGGAGACATGTCGTTCCTCCTTTTACTTCCGGAGAATGCTGCCATGGGGTCCGTGTAATAACCGAACCTAGGCAAATTGTGCTGATGTGGAGAGGCACTGGCTGTTTCATTTTCAATCAGAGGGTTCAAAAGGGCTCCAAATGCCGACTCTGGACTCTTGGAGTCGGCATAAGCTCCCGTCTGGGAAGCTTCCATCCGCATTGCCTTTAGCCTTTTTTTCCTTTTCTCAGATTCTTCCATTATCACTCAATGCCTTAAACACATATCGGAACCAAACACTGCAACACAATCAATTTTCTCAAATTGTTCATATCTTCAAGCCCAATGAAGAAAAATGAGTTATAAAAGATACCAATCAATCAAAGCATGTTAAGGTGAGTTAATAAAATCAACACTTGCAAGAACCACATAGAGATTGATTAAAAGCCAACTATGTACTAGTGACAGAAATAAATTTCCCTCCCTAGGAGAACAATACATGAACAAATGACCAGCAAAGAATGAGCTTTGCTCTTGTACTTTAATTATCTCAAACAGCTAAAACACTCAAATCACTCAAATAACTGTCAGGTAGTTTAGTTAAGCATTTATTATCCGAAAAGAGGCAAGTGGCAACGAGGGTAAATATATAAAACCCTGTTGAAGACACAACTTAACTGACACAGCAAATTTCAAATCCTTCAAAAGGTAGATAACAAATAATAGTCACTATATAATATATATTGGTCATAAATTCGGTGTTAAGTGAAATGACTGCTCATAACTCAGGTAAACAACCATAAAAGGCTTCATACGTCCAGATATAAAGTATGATTGTCGTGGAATGATCAAAAACAACAATAGATGACGGTCAAAACAAGAATCAAAGGCTTCAATGAAAAATGATTATGTACAGGACATGAAAGAATGTATAAGTTTGTGGTGCATAAATAGTTATCATCGCACTACAGAAGCGCAGATGCATTAGATGCATTATTCCCAGAGAACTAGTGTTTATAATACAGCTAAAACCATCAGCTAAAACCATCTGTATCAGTGTCGCTTAACGCAATATATACGTACATATATATATATACACACACACGGGAGGAAACTATCATCACGATCAACATGTGTTACGGAGATTATCACGACACTGCAATATTTCTTCAAGTCTTGTCACATAATTCAAAAGACTGGGCGTGAAAATTATTTAATCAACCCTTTCCATCATTACTGAAAAATAAATTTTCCAGACCAAAAATGTGGGCAGCAGATCCATGCATGAATTTACAAGTGACCAAAAATTATCTATAAATTGAAGTCAGATAGAGTACACATGGAATTAAGATCATTGTAGATTTCTGTCACATGCGATGCTAACAGTTATTTGCAAAGGGGAAATTAAACATTTGGCTACACTGCTACAAAATTTACAACTACTTAATCAACTAAAAAATGTTCAACCACGTATTTGTTACCCAATTGAGACGATATGTACTACCGGGATACGTTCCCAAATATGAAGCAATAAATATCATATCACTATACAATGTCATTTATCACCTATCTGAAATAGTGAGTTTTTCCAAAAGACTAATTCAGCACCAAGTAAAATGATCCATACCCTCTCCAGGCAGAAGACAAAAATTAGAGAGCCATGACTATTTTGAGACCTGCAACCACATATTTCTAAGGTGTAAGGTAGTTCATGCTTAGACTTTCAATAGTAAGAAACAGGTTATCATTCTAATAGTAAGAAACAGGTGATCATTGTGCCTATACTGTGCTCATCTTGAACCAAGTATAAAATTTTCATCATTTTTCTAGCATGGGTAACAAATTGTAAAACATCAACAAACTGCTGCAAAGAGTGAATCAAAATATTCTAAGATAAAAATGGTAGTAAAATGAAACTCTCCTCAATGCACAACATTCAAATACTCATACCATTTGTTCGTCGAAAATTTATATATCCAAAGGCAATCACACATGCTAGCACAAAGATGAAAATGTATTTTTTTTTTTTGGGTCATCAATAGAGACAAAAATGTAATTACTGAGAAACAATGTAATTACTAAAGGATGTAACGAGTAAGTGAATACACAGACTAGGTGAGGAAATGGGTATTAATTATTGGCATTCGATGGTTAATTCCACTATATTAGAGCAAAAACTGAAAAAATGTAACTACAATTGCCAATAACATTCATATGCAAGATGATATCAGTGTCACATTAAATTAAAGATCTCAGCAATTACCTGATTTATCAAGCAGCAGCCATAGAAACAAGCTCAATGTCGTTACCATTCAAAACTAATTCATCCTTCACCTTTTCGGATCTCACGAACGAGACCCCTTCAAGCATTTCCACCTTCCTCGCCTGGTATGATGTTTGTGTGGGTTTCAATAAGAAAAGAAAAAGAATTCACATTACTGGTCAATCAACGACAAAAAATGGTCAAACTTAACTATGCATTTAGCCCTTCATTTCTCCACAGTTCAAAATCTAATTTGGACAATGAAATCAGTTACAGAAGCTAAAAGGGAAGTTAGTCATACAGTCAAAGTTAATCTTCATACATAAGCTACTATGAATTTGTTATCCAACAATAAACAGAGCTCTAAACAACATGTACAAGCATTTAAAACAAATTCAAAAATAATTGTCATATAACAAATAAATTTGGTATACAGACATTGTCACTGAAAATTTCAGGGAAATTAGAGCACAAAATATGATTAGCAGTGAAAATGTAACACATCATAGTATAACAATCTTAACTGAACATCCCAAAACTAACAAGAATACCTACCACACAACGTCCACACAACGTCAGGTAAAATAAAGAACTGCAGTAAGTTACTCATAGGGTGTTAAACATTCACGAAGATTGGGGGATGCTAAACCCCAGTAGAAAAATAAAACTGAAAATCCATTAGCAGTCCCTTCCCTTGCTAATTCCCAATTTCTCCCTCACCAAAAATATGTTCCCCTCGTAAACCCTATAGAACATTCGAAAACTTTAATATGTTCTTAAAAATAAAATATTCATACAACAAACCAGACATATTTGAGTCTTTATATGGAATTCCTTGAGCGCAGTATGAACTTACCATAAATTAGTTTCAGAGGCCTTCAAACCATGGACGGAATTTGGGCTCTCTTTCCGGTGTCCATAGAAGGTGGAAACAAATTGCCTGTCGGCCTCTACGACAAATTCGATGAACGGTGTCCCCGCCACCTCCGCTCAGCCCGAGACCTCTCCGTTCCCCTAATCTGCTGCTGTTCGCCGGAATTCGAGCCGAAATCTGAATAAACCGCTCGGAGTCGGAGCCGTACAGACCAATCGGAAGTCGCCGTTATTCGCTCGGGCCACTTGATGAGCCGTCTCCGGCCGCCGCTCCTCTAAACCGTCCTCCAGTTGCCGTCTCACGTCACGAACAAGGCTTCAATTCACGGATCTGAGAGGTGGTTGTAGTGTTTGTGATAATTTTGGGATAAATTGTGAGGGATGCCTCCACTTGTTTTGGGCGGCCGTGTATGGAACGAAAAGAGAAGGAAATCCACCTTCTTATAGCTAGGGCTTCTTCATTGGGATTGACGAGGGGTGCTTGTGCGACTCGAAGTCTTGTGAGTGGTGCGAATTTCAATGGACTTGTAACGGCCCAACTTTTTTCATGGTCAAACGGGTCATATTGTATATCAAGTTCTCCTCTGTGGGATTTTTTCTCTTTCTAGAGTGCTAGTTCCAGGTTTTGGAGTTTTGCTTAGATCTTGTGGTTCTGTGGGTTCCTGCTTTCGTCGGGTTCTCTTGTGTGTTGGTAGATCTTGCTTAGGTGTCTAATCTTTTTTTGCGGATTCGTTTTCTGTCTTATTTGGGTTCTTGCTGCGTTTTAGGGTTTCTAGGGTTCTCTTTGTCTCTTCTGTTTAGATGCTTTCTCCAATCTATGTTTAGGGCTGTGGGGTGTCTGAATCCCTTTTCGATTCTATTAGTGATTTGATTCACAATTTGCTTTAATTACTAATCCTATTTGTTTGGTTTAATCTTCTCCTGCTTGCTTTTTTCCTATTTTTGTTTTTCTTGTTTGTTTTGTGCTATTGATTCTGAGGAGCTTTTGAAAGGGTTAGCCCATTTTCATGATGGCGGATGAGCTGACGGACAAGATGAAAAAATTTCGGTTGTCGGAAAAAGAAGGAAAGGGGTTGGAAATATCGGAGGCAGATATTGCATTTGGGGTTAAAGAATGTCAACAGAGTCTTCTGGGAAAGGTGTACGGGGATAAGAAGGTGAACTATAGTGGACTGAAGACGACGCTTCATAACATATGGGTCACGAAAGAGCAGTTCTTCATAAAAAATATAGGCCCAAACCTGTTCCAATTTATTTTTCAATCTGAGGAGGATAAAGACAAGGTCATACAAGGAAAAACCTGGTCTTTTGACGGTCAGTATATACTCCTGAAAGATTGGAATCCAGATGCTCCTGACTTTACCATTGAGGATGAGAAGATAAAAATATGGGTCCAAGTTCACAACCTCCCGCTGCATTGGTTGACAATGGAATTGGGGCTGAAGATTGGAAGGTTTATCGGAAATGTTATTGATGTATTAGTGCCGGGGACAGAGAGCTCAAATGGGAAAATTCTAAAAGTGCAAGTGGAGATGAATCTCAGAGAGCCAATTCCCAGAGGAACAAACATCAAACTTGGAGCTGAGAATCGATGGGTGGAGTTCAGGTACGAGAATCTCCAATCATTCTGCTTTTACTGTGGTCTTATTGGACATGTTGACAAAAACTGTCTAAGTAAAAAAGAGGAACTTGCTAGAAATTTGATTAACTTGGGCCAATTTGGTGAATGGTTAAGGGCAGGTAGTATTTTTTTCAGTGAGTCTAGAAATTTTAAGAATGGAGGGTCATCTGGAACTAGTGCAGGGGATTCAAAGAAATCTTACTGCCCTGAACCTGGGGTAGGTGTTTCTGATCCTAGTGGAGGAGACACATCTGGTAGGGATGTGATCTCACCACGGGATCAGGCTAGCGATGTTAGGCTGAATTCACCTTGTGAGCTGCTAGGTGGTGGTAATGAGGCTGTGGACAATACTAAGGTATTGCCTCAACCTCAGAATCCATTACTTACCTCTCCCCTGGATACTGACAATCAGCTGGTGGATGTTGCAATCCAACCTTTATCCTCTGGGTTAAAACCTGTTTTAAACAAAAGGAAACCAGTGATTAGAAAATTCCATTCTGGCCCTGCTAATGTCCCAGCTGAAATGGAGGTTGATGAGGGGAAAGGTTTGAGGGAAATTGGGGAGGGTAGTAAGGTGCTTTCTAAGAGAAGTTTCAGTGAAGGTTTTCAAACCAGGATTGAAACTCATGCTGAATCTGATATGAAAAGTAAAAAACTGAAACTGTCTGATTCTAATATGTCAAATGAGGTGGAGGAGACCAGCCCTAATTGGTCCCAAAAGCTGCCATGAAGGTATGTGTGTGGAATTGTAGAGGTTTGGGAGGACCCTCTACAATTTCCCAATTGCGAGAAACCATTAGGGTTCACCTCCCAGATCTAGTTTTTCTTTCTGAAACAAAAAAAAAAGAAAAATTTGTTATTTCAGTTTGTAAAAAGTTGAAGTTAGATAATAGATGGGTTTATAGTAAACCTGTGGGGACTAGGGGGGGTTTGTTTTTGTGTTGGTCAGATAAGATTAGTATTTTAGACTTATTTTGTAGGGATTTCTGTATTGGTATTAAATTTGGGTTTTTGGGGAGTGATATTATTCAATGGGGTATTTTTGTGTACCTAAGTACTGATCCTGGGATCAGACACTTACAATGGGACACTCTTAGAAGTCTGCATAATAATTGGGGGGATGTGTGGTTCATGGGGGGAGATTTCAATGATATCCTGTCTGATCAGGATAAATCTGGGGGTGTTCTTAGAGCTCAGAGTAGTTTTATTCCTTTCAGAGAGTTTGTGAGTGATATGGGAATGAATGAGACCAAAACTCAAGGTCATCATTTCACCTGGTCTAATCTTAGACAAGGGGCTGAGTTTGTTGAGGCTAAACTTGACAGGATTTTCTTTTCCTCTACTTGGCTTGCCCATTTTCCAAATGCCCTTGTTAATCTTGTTTCTTTAATTTCCTCTGACCACAAAATGCTGATATTGGAGAATGATTGTACTGTGCAGTTTAAGCCTAAAAGATTTGTCTTTGATGAAAGATGGGTCAGATTAGAGGGTTTTAAGGAAACAGTGGAAAAAGCCTGGAATCTAGATGTTAGTGGGCATCCTCTGTATAGCATCCAGGGTAGACTTAAGAATGTTAGGATGGCTTTGCTTTGTTGGAAGAAATCTCATGTCACAAATGCTGCTAAACTGATAGATATCTGTAAGAGTGCTTTGTTTGACTTAGAGCTTCAGGGGGCAGGGAGAAACTGGGAAGAGTGGAATAAGTGGAAAAAATTACTTCACCAAGCTTATTTAGATGAAGAAGGGTATTGGAAACAGAAGTCTAGAGTGCAATGGCTTAAGGATGGGGATAAAAACACAAAATTTTTTCAAGCATCTGTGCAACAAAGAAGGCAAAAATGCACTCTAGATAACTTGGTTAATTCTTCTGGGCAGAAATGTGTTGGGGACCAAGAAAAGGCTAGGGAATTAGAAAACTATTTCAAGAAGTTATTTAAATCCTCTAGCCCTGACATCACTGTTTGTAATTTGCATGGTATCCCAACTACTATTACTTATGAGATGAACCAGACTCTTACTAGAGAAGTGACTGAGGAGGAAATATGTTTGGCTGTTAAGGAAATGGAACCTTCAAAAGCTCCTGGTATTGATGGCATGACTACCCTCTTTTTCCAAAGTTGTTGGCCGATTGTTAAAACCCATGTGTGTAATGCTATTGTTAATTTTTTTCATAGTAGTAGTATGCCAAAAGGGATCAATCACACTGTTCTTTCTCTTATCCCTAAAAAAGGCAATCCTACTTTTGCTTCTGATTTTAGACCTATTGCCCTTTGTACTGTTATTTATAAAATTATCTCCAAGTTGATTGCTAACAGATTGAAAGTGGTTCTCAGCCCTTGTATTAATGCCTCTCAAGCTGCTTTTGTGCCTGGGAGGCAAATTCTTGACAATGTGGTTTTAGCTAATGAGTGCTTGCATTTCATAAATAGTAAAAGAAAAGGGTCTAAGCATCTTATGGCTGTTAAATTAGATATGGAGAAGGCTTATGATAGAGTAGAGTGGGATTTTTTGCTTAGTGTTTGTAGGAAAATGGGTTTTGCTGAATCTTTTGTGCTTTGGATTGCTGCTTGTCTATCCTCTACTTCTTTTTCTTTTAATATTAATGGCCAAGTTTTGGGATTTGTCAAACCTTCTAGAGGTATTAGGCAAGGAGATCCTATTTCTCCTTATCTTTTCATCATTTTGTCTGAAGCTTTATCCAATTTGATCTCTCAAGCTTGCCGTCCGTTTTCCTATTCAGGTATTAAAATTAGTAGGTTCTCTCCTGCTATTTCCCACCTTCTTTTTGCTGATGATACTATTCTGTTTTGTTCTGCTAATGAGTATCATGCTCATCTGATTAATTCTATTCTAGATATTTTTGGGGCTTCTTCAGGTCAGAAGGTTAATTTGTCTAAATCTTCTATTTTTTTCTCTAAAAATACTCCTGACAATTCAAAGGGTAGGATTTGCAGGATTCTGAATGGGATTCATTGTGTCAATTCTTCCAAATACTTAGGGCTGCCCCTAGGAATTGGGAGATCCAAGAGGAGTACTTTTAATTTTGTTTTGGAGTGTGTGGGAAACAAGCTGGCCAATTGGAAGAATATTTACCTGAGTGAGGCTGGGAGAGAGGTGCTAGTGAAATCTGTTCTTGAAGCTCTCCCAACCTATGTTATGTCTTGCTTCAAACTTCCAGTTGGTATAAATAAGAGCATCTGTCAAGCCATTGCTGCTTTTTGGTGGGGGAAGAAAGAAGCAGGGGGTAGTAAGATCCATTGGGCCAGTTGGGAGGTTTTAGCTAAGCCTAAGAGTAGTGGTGGGCTGGGTTTCAAAAACTTGACTGCTTTCAATAATGCTTTATTGGTTAAGCAATTATGGAGAGTCCTTACTCATCCTAATCTGCTTGTTAGTAAAGTATTAAAGGGCAAATATTTTTATAGGGGTAGTTTGTTTGATGTTAAGCCAAAGAATGGGGATTCTTGGCTGTGGAAGAGTTGGGTTGGAGTTATTAAATTCTTAAAGTTGGGAACCAGATTTCAAGTGGGTGATGGCAAGACCATATCCATTTGGGATCATCCTTGGTTACCTAGACAGGGCAATTGTATTCCAACTTGTTGTTTTTCTGGGGATAGAGACAGGTTAAGATGGGTGAGTGATCTGGTAGATGTGGATGGTGGGGTGTGGGATAGGGATTTGATTAGGCAAACTTTTAACCCTGAGGAAGCTGACCTGATTTTTCAAATTCCTCTTTCTTGCATGGGTAAAAGAGATAAGTTAATCTGGCATTTTGGTAAACATGGCTGTTTTAGTGTCAAATCTGCTTATGAGGCTTTTGTTGGGAAAATGTGTGATCAAAGGAATGTGGCCAGTGCTAGTAGGAATGTCAATAATATGAAAGCTATATGGAATGCAACTTGGCAGCTTCCCATCAAAGGAAAAGTGAAGCATTTCTTGTGGAGGTGTTGGCATAAGTACATGAGTACCAATGATCAGCTTTTGGTTAGAACAATTTGCAGTGATGGTACCTGCTGTATCTGTGGTGAAGAGATGGAAGACTTAGACCATATTCTGTTCAATTGCTACAGAGCCAAGCTTGTTTGGAAACTGAGTGGGGTGGAATGGCAGAATTTTGATAACTTTTCTATCTCTTTTCAGACCTGGTGGGGTGAATTATGTGGAGCTCCAATTTCTGGGAATCTCAAAGATAGGATAAGCTTATCATCCTACATCCTTTGGTGGCTCTGGAAAACTAGGAACATTTGGGTG